ATATAATCTTGTTTTTTATGACACAGCAAAAAGTAATCTAAAATGTAAAAACTTCTTAAAATGAGCGGGTTAGTAAGATGATTACCAAAGAAAATTTTATTTTTAATAATTCTTATAATTACATATAAGCTACTTGATATAAGAAGATAGATTATTTATTTTATTTTAATTGAAATCATCTTATTAGATTAGTAAATTGTCTTGCTCTGCTCAGATAGAGGCAAAATACACCCCTTTTGAAGAAAATTTACTTAATGTCGATTTTTTGTAATGTATCTTTTAAGTACAGATCTGTTCTCCGGGGGCGCTGACCCCTGTTACCCCCTGCCTAGAACCGCCTATGAGTAAATAGAAAGTGATAGTTGATGGCTCGCGCATTACTCATGGATCAGGCTGATTGAGAAGATGCGCGTGCATGCTTTGATTTGACTAATAGTTTGAAACAGACTGTTTTAGTAGGACTGAACTTAATGGACATCAGGGGCGGTTCTAGAACCAGAGGTTTAAGGGTGCTGAGCCCCCAGAGAGCTGTCTGGCCTGACAAGATTCATTTCACTGTTTTCTAAACATATTTTTGAAACTTGTTAAGTGCATTTTGCTAATAACTGACTCCATTGTTCACTAATGCATCGTATCTGAGACGTGTGCAAAAAACCTAACAAGCAAAGCAAAAAGGCAAAATGTTTTAGAGGAATATTCCAACCAATTAAAGCTTTTAAATCAACTAATTTCACGGAAACCTTTGAATCAGTTTTCATGAAGTGAGTTTTCTCTTTTGTGCCAAATGACTTCTATGATAAATGTAAAATAATCGACTGAATTAAATGTTTTTCTTTGCCAGTTTAACAGCTGCTATTCTGTCTGGTTTTTCCTGACCTTTCACTTTGCACACACCTTGTTCCTCTGCTCCCCCTTTGCTCCTCTCCCTCTTTAGACTGGCAATCAGAAAATGGATTCTAAGTTCAAATAATTAGAAACTAGTAAAGATTTACTAATGATTCAGTAAATTTAAATATTAATATTAAGTTGTGGTTAGATAATCAAAGATAATCAAACAAAGCAGTCTCAGACACATTAGAGCACCTCGCTGGTGAACATTTCACCAACACACCATCAATAGGTGCAGAAATCTGACTGAACATTTCAGAAACACCTGAATGCAACGTTTTCCTCAACATTTTAGTTAAGGAGCTCCATCAG